ACATTTCCCGAGCCCGGCCTGCAGACCCCAATTCCATAGTCGACGCAGCTCAAGCGCAAGTTAAAAACTTTAGACGATGGAATCCGGAAAAGGGGAGGAAAAAATCCAGCAATTCGAGCTCAACTGTTAGATGGAGCCCGCCGGAGGGCAGCTCCATGAGGCTAAATGTGGGCTGCTCGTGGAAGGAAGGTGAGACGCCAAGCTCTATAGCTGGAATTTTGCGCAACTCAAGCGGACTGTTCATCGATGCCTTTGCAAAGGAGATCATTGCCTCTTCTCCATTGCAAGCAGAAGCCCCAGCTCTGTTGCACGGGCTAAAGTACTTGGAAACAGAAAGGTGAAATGCACGTGGGAGGAGCAGAAGACTGCGATCTGTGTTGGGAGTGTGAGCGTGATAGCTAGGGGTGTGCAAAAGAACCGGGACCCGCCCGGACCGCCCGGAATCGCCTGGAACCGGACCGGAACCGGTGGTTCCCAAGGGAACTGGTCCGGTTCCAATTTTTTGGAACCGGTACTGTTTGGGCCGGTTCCCGGTGTGGAACCGCCCACCCGCCCATCCGAACCGAACCGGTAATATAATAATAATATATTTTATTTTATTTAATTTTTAATTAAAAAAATCTGACCAAGAAAAATTAAAAAAGAAAGAAGAAAATTTGTTATCATGTCTGAAGCTCTTGTGTAGTTGGGATACCATGGTCATTTTTCCCAATAATTAATGGGTACCCACTTGATTTATGGATGATGTGATTAATATAATCGATCATAGTGTAGGAATTATATGAAAAATTATGTTCTTTTTCTTTTGTTCTGTTAATCCGATGTTGGTCCACAGATTTTTTTTTTTATTTGTCTAGGAAAACTTGTTGAGACCGGTTCCATGGACCCGCCCAAGAATCGGACCGGACCGGCGGTCCGGTTCTCGGGCGGGTCCATGGAACCGACGGGCGGTTCTCGGTTCCAATTTTTGGAACCGGTCCTGTAGCGGGCGGTCCACGATTCCGGGGTGGGAACCGCCCACCCGGATCATGCACACCCCTAGTGATAGCTAATCACTTGTGGAGATCATCATGGGCCGAGAGGAGAATCCATCGGCCGTGCGGGACCTTATAAACGAGTGCAAGGTGCTCTTAGCTCAGATGGATGCTGTAACATTAGCCCACTGTTCAAGGGATGCCAACCAAGCTGCAGACTGGGTTGCCAAAGCCCGCCGCCCCCCCCCCCCCCCCCAAGCCGCTATGGAACATTTTATGTTCGGAAACTTATATATTGTTTTCATGCAACTCTCGTTTTATGAATGAACGAAAGAACTTTTACCGACCAAAAAAATAAAGAAAACATCTCTCGACAGCACCGTAATTCGCTTGGACAAAACCATCACAACCTCACCCTTTTCACCGGTATAACCGATGCTCACCGAAAAAGCTCATTCACTTTGCGAGCCAAAGGTCGAAAATTAGCCAACCACCGAGAAAACCCAGTTCAGCGTTCCACAATGCGCCTTCCTTTTCGCGTGCACCTTCCTACTGGTCCTGCCTCGGAAAATTTTATATCTGCCGCAAAGGCTTTCTGCTTTCCAATTGTATATTTCGGGATTCATGTTTGCTTTTCCATTCTATTCGATTTGATCCTCCTGACCGAGTCTTCTTTGCAGCTTGTGCAAAATAATGGTAGAAGAAATTCTCCTGCCGAACTATTCACTTGACATGAATATCACACAACTTATCAACTATTGATACTAAGAATCCAAGCTCCCATGGTCCGTTTACTATTCCTTTTAACTAACAATTGTTGAATTCGCAATCGCATGGCAAGAATATCTGCCGAAATCTGCAAAGTCAAATTGTTTCTGCATTACTTTTACTATTTGAGCTTCAAAAGTACCTTGGCACATCATTTCCACATGCTTTAGAGACCAAAACTAGTCCAGAAACAACAGCTCTGGCTGCAGTCCCTCTCTCAGATGGAGAATTTAATTTGCAAGCGTGGAAGTAGAATCTAGAAAGTCGCCAAGATGGAGAATGGACCTTGTTTGAGGACCTTCCATGCTCAGCAACAACCGAATAAAGGCTAGCCCCAATAGCAGCAGCTTCCCTCAACTCTTCCTCAAGCATAGCAATTTTGTTTTCCAACTTGGCTTCATTGGTAGAAAAGTTTGCCAATTGCTTCTTATCATTTATCGCAGAAAAAGTAGCACCTTTGCCATTGTTTCTGCCTGGGCGAATCCGTTTTGCCTCTTTTGCAACTGCGCTCTTAACAAGCAGTTTAAAGTTATCAGATGGATTAGATAAAAGGTTCAAATCTTTTTCATGTTTTAGTTCTTTGCTATCAACAAAATCACCCATCTCATCTGCAGGATCTCTCAAGAAGGCAACCTGTTTTCTGATGTCATGCTTTAGAAAAGGCGAAGCTACATCTCGAAAATGTTTCCTTTTTTAGAGTGTTTGTCCCGCTAGGCTATTTTCTTGCTGGTCATTCTCATCTTTTACTGTCAAAGAACCTAACAGCATATGTAGGGGTGGAGACAGGCCAACTCTATTTGAACTCCAATTGTTTTCATGATCTCGAGAGAGGGTGCTTCTTACAAGCTCTGTGTCAATATCCCCCTCAGAATTTGGAGCACTAGACGATGAACCATCGGAAAAGCTTCTAATAACATCACCTTCGCTTTCTGCTCAAGAGCCCTCTCTAATCCCATCGCTTTCATCAGGAATTCTCTCATGGAACTTATAAGCTATTGGTTCCGGCAAACTTGTGTTTTCCTAGCTGTGCAACTCTCTCATATCTTGGAGACCTGTAAATGAGAATTAATATTTGAAGATAGTGGATAGCTTCCAGGGATGAGATTAGACTTTTCTTAAGAAATGTGAGAAAAGAAGAAAACCTGGAGCATAGTTGCCGGTGTCAAGTAAGTCTGTAGATGGTGAAGAAAAGGTGGCTTTTCCATGTTCACTTGCTTCAGCTGCAAAGTGTATTTCCTGCCTTGAAGTTGCTACTTCTAATAGTAGTGCATCTTCTCGATTAGCAACTTGTTTTCCATTATCTGATGTTTCTGGTTCTCTCTGCGCACCAAAAAGAATCCAAGAATGGCAGATGTACTTGTTAACAAACAGGACTGAAAGCTAAAGAACATAACGAAGCATTTATAAGATGCGGAAACCAATTTATTGGTGATATAATATCCTCGGCTAGCCAGAATCTGTTACGCTCACAATTACTTCAGGAAGCAAACTCCTTACATGCCTTACAAAAAAACAAAAGAAAAAAAGAAGGCTAAAGCGTACGAAACATCTGACGGTTCCTAGCAAAACATGTGTCTGCATATTATCCACCATGGGGGAAAAGTCGCAAAACAACAAGGAACGAACCTCTCAATTTCAAATTTCAAGATCTGATAATTCAAGCATGAAAGCTATGATGGGGAGTCACACTTCAAGTTCAAAAGTTTGCTCACACGGTTGGGTGCCAAACTGGGAAGGGGTTTCAAGATTCCAATGATTATAATAACAGCTAAAGAAAACAAAGTCGATATGTACATGATATGCCGATTCTCAAGCAATGTGTGAGGTCATTGATCTCTTAACGGAAGGAAAGTCTACTGGCAATGATTATAATAACAGCCCCCTTCCTGAACGAGAACTAACGATGAAAAGCATTTAAATTTCTTGACTGGAGTACATAAACTAAATAAGCCAAGGGAATAAATATCAAAATAAGTCCACGGCCAAGAGATGAACAACCGGCTATAAGCAGGACAAATCTCCATCATCAGGAAAAAAAAAAAACCAGTTAACAGAGTTATCTTGTAATGATTTCAAGTACCTTATCACACGTACGGCGGACGACGGAGGTGCAAGGCAGAGGCAATGTTCAACACCAATTTTTACTTTTTGTCATCCTTACATTCTGTGATTAAAATGGCCGTTTAGGAATGTTGAAGTCGGTTAGCTGTCCCTGATTTTATTAATTTTAGGAATGTTGAAGTCGGTTAGCTAATCAGCAGATGATCATAAACTAAATACTCATAAAAGCAGATCAAACTTGCAAGTACAAATTTTTTTTCCTCCTAAAACATGCAGCCGCAAAATATAGCCTTGCAAGATATAAGATCAAATGATCGTAAAGATTGAAGACCTAATCATCCAAAAATCAAAACGATAAACCCAAGTTTGTAGTCGTTGTTGTAGAAAACTTTTCAAGTTATCGGTAGCGTGTTTCAGGATTTGCATAGTTAAATAAATAACGTAATGTATTTTAAACGAGTTAGGATGATTTATAAAATTACTCTCCGAGTTGGATTTTCGGATGAACTATTAGATAAATCTCAAAATCTCAAGCCCATCCCAGACCTTAGTAAGATAATATTACGTTAAATCTTAAACCCGTCTCGCACATGAATCTCGAAACTAGACCTGTCAAAGTGGGTCATAAATCCATTTCTTACCCATATATGATGGGTGAGTTATTAAATAGGTTAGTTATATTAAGTAAATTGATTATAAATCGATTTAAAAATAACATAGGTGTTAAATGAGTCAAAAATGAATTATCAACTTACTTAAATTCAATCAACATATATGACTCTCTTTGGCACTTACTCATTTTGCATTGTCACCTTTGTTGGGATATGAATTGTCCTAGATGGGATTGAATACAGAATTGTTTTAGTAATATGAGTCTGGTCGGATTGGATATAAATCACCAGATTTGTATTATATAGAAATGAATCAAAACAAGTTAAATGGGTCAATCTGGGTCAAATCATTTTCGATCCGACCTGACCCATCCGTATAACGTTTTTACTCAAAACTCATACGGAACCTAACAGGATAAACTCGATTAAACTCTTAGACCCAAAAAAAGAAAAAAACTCGGATAAACACGAGCCATTGTCATAGTATTCATGCATTCTGTCCATTTTTCGTTGGAAATCTGTAATTACTCTTTTTGGCCGGGAGTAACGTACGAGATATGATTGCAACTAAGGAAACACGCCATGAAGTTTTGAGGTCACGAGAGGATAGTCCGTGGGAAAGGAAAGAAATCCAGCCGAATCAGCAGGAAACCAGCTAAAATCCGAAACAGCATCATCGTCTCCTCCGAATTCCTGACCACATTCCGCCATTACTGTCCCCCCCTCCTCAGTCATCCCCCGCGAGAATCATGCCCGCTTTCCCTCGTATCTGGTCAGCCAAATCTTTCATCAGGATCACGTTAACTCCGTGACGATTGACGGGATCGTCATCCATCAATGCGTCATCATGAAAGGCACGAACTTTGGCGATTGTCCTCGCGATGCGCGCATGACCCATTACAGCTTTTTTCCGTATTTGGAATAAATTCGACGTAAAAGGGTGGTCGGTATCGAGATTTATCCATTCGATCCATCTGAAGCGGCCGTAGAGTTCCAATCTTTCTGGGTGCCCACCAGGACTCTCGTGGCAAATCCATGGGGTTTTGATGGATTTGGAGTCCGTCATTTCAAGAGCTCTCCTCTCTCGTTTCTGGGTTTATCTTGATTGATGGGGCTAAACATGGATCTTTGTCCTTGTTTCGGCTCCAAGAAAGGGAAGAAGCCGAAACGCCAGGAGGACAGAGATTTCAGCAAGGAGTCCAAGCCTTCAGGAAATGCTCCTGCCAATACGTTTCAAGGTTCTATTTCGCTTTCGCTCGTAAATTGCTTCGTGTTGAAGACCGTGTTTATGTTTTTGACAAGTGACGGTTCGTGTTTTAGTTTTGTTGATTATTCAGGTTTTCGTTGACAGTTTAGTATGCCAGGAAGTGATGCCCACTAGGAAAAAAAAGTTTCGTTCCTTCCTTTCTGCCCATCTATGTGTGCCATGTTCTAAGTGTGTGATGAGATGATCGATCCGCCTTTCCCTTTCATGGTTGGTTGATCATGATCACCTTAGTTCATGTAGTTTATGGCTTTTGAGGAAACAGTGGCCTGTGAAAATGACATTTCAGTTTAATAATTCTATGTGCATCTGCATAAATTATGATTAACTTAAGCTAGTGATTCCGGAGATGTTTAGACTGGCAACAGCTTCCCCTTAATTTGATCATATAGTTAGAGCCTTGCATGCCCGGAAGGTGAATTTTCCTAGCGCCCATCCCTAGATCACGTAACTCAAACGGGCGATCCTAACTCCTTAGTTCCATGCTGGAAACTAAAGATAGTGAAGCACAGTCATAATTGTTCAGAATTAGGGATCTCCTGAAATTCCAAGAATGCATTTGTGTCGTTATTTAGTTAGATTGGATCACCGTTTAAAAGCATATGTTCCACTTCCATCCAGAAATATGTGCTCCTGACAAAAATATTGATTATTATTGGTGCAATATAATATCATATATTAGACGAAGCATTGCTGACTGCTCAATACTGGTGACAAATGCATAGAATTGAGACTGGAATCATCGGTTTCGGAAGAAGAGCACGAGGTCGCCAACGAGGCTCAAATATTCAGCTACCGGGAGCTTGCAACAGCGACAAAAGATTTTAGGGACGAATCCTTGATCGGGCAAGGTGGATTTGGTTTTGTTTACAAAGGGCAATTAAAAAAGACAGGTCAGGTAATGTTGACTGGCTCAGAAGCTGGACCCTCTTCTTCTATGAGTGACATAAGAAGGAGAGGCCGCTTATCCCTAGTCGTACCTACATTTTTTTGGCCTGAGTTGGGTTCTGTTTAAGTACTGCCATCCTTCATTTGTCATATGTGTCATGTTTTTACATTGGATTGCTGTTTTTGTTTCGATGATGACTTGGCTCAGTATTCGAGCAGGTAGTAGCCGTTAAACAGCTGAACAAAGCCGGTCACCAAGGTGACCATGAGTTTCTGGTGGAAGTTTTGATGCTCTCTCTTCTGCGTCATCCTAACCTAGTCAGTATGATCGGCTACTGCGCCGAGGGCGAGCAGCGTCTGCTTGTGTATGAATACTTGCCCTTGAAATCCTTGGATGATCTCTTGCACGGTAATATATCCAATCTAGTGTTTTTCCAATTAACAAGATTATGGAGTAATGAGTAATCCTCTCGTATTTCATAGGAACTATATTGCTCTCGGTGAACCCGAGGAAAAGAAAATAAGAGAGGATACACCAACTAGCAGCATCCTTTGAATAATCGGATACATGAAAGAAGATAGGACTAGATTCCTGTTTTAAAAAATTGACCTTATTCTGGTTCTTAGGGGGCTCAACGATAAGGACTGGATGGTTACTCTGACATATTGTGATTTGTTGTTTCTGACTGCTAAACGAGGATCATCAAAACTGTCCAAGTGCTGCAAAAGATATTTCTCCTTTGCTGCGATTCTAAACGTCTTGTTCTTAATTACTCGATGCTGGACTTGAAAATCCTTGACTTTCATTAATGTCGAGCAGAGTCTCACTTTCTTGAACAGCGGAAACCAAGCTTCTCATACATTTCAAACTGATCTCATCAACAATAATGCCGCAGATGATGATTTGACTATCTAAAATTTCTTTGGTCTCTACAAAATTATACTATTATGATGTGTAATGATCAGTGTCATGCAGATCTTCCTCCTGATAGGGAGCCCCTTGATTGGAACACGAGGATGATGATAGCTGCCGGTGTGGCGAGGGGATTGAACTATCTGCACAATGAAGCAGATCCGCCCGTTATCCATAGGGACATGAAATCATCCAACATATTGTTAGATGAAAAATACCGTCCAAAGCTTTCTGATTTCGGTCTCGCCAAGTTTGGTCCAACTGGAGATAAAACACATGTCTCGACCAGGGTCTTGGGAACCCAGGGCTATTGTGCCCCTGAGTATGGACTGAGTGGGAAATTGACGAAGAAGTCAGACATCTACAGCTTCGGGGTCGTCTTGCTGGAGATTATTACAGGGCATAGAGCTCTGGAATACGTTGATGGTCATGCTATTTACATTGTTGAATGGGTAAAAAGATTTTCATATTCCTTCATGTATGGTGCAATGCCTGATTATCATCTGTTCATACAAAGTAGTCCTATTGCTTGTTTCTTGATCGGGTTTTGTATCTGATGAAATCCTGATTTTTTATGCCTGCAGACGCGTCCAATTATCAAAGACCGCAAGAACAGCACACAATTGGCAGATCCGATGCTCGGAGGCCAGTTTCCAGAATCCATTTTAAGGAAGGCCCTTGACATGGCGGCAATGTGCATTAGAGAAGAGCCGAACAAGCGTCCTCCCATCGACGAAGTCGTGCTCGCTCTTGATTACTTGGCGTCCCAAAAGTACCATCCCCACGCATCCGCCAAGGTCGGCACAAAGAAAGCTCACAAGGACAAATCTCCAAACGAGACGACAACGATGCTAGACAAGGAGCTGGAGCGCGAACAAGCCATCGCAGAGGCCAAGATCTGGGGGGAGAGCTGGAGAGATAAGGGGCGGCAGACCTCTCTGAGCAAGACCGATGGCTTGAGTAGGTGATGGCCGGAACGAGTCGCTCTATGTTGGTCCCTCTTAACATTGAGCACAGAGACTTTCGGAAATCTCGGTTTCTGATTTATAGGCCCAGATGGTTAGGCAATTGGTAGCGAGACATTGCAGCATCATCAGCGAACTATTCACGTCCTGAGTGACGATTTCATTCAATGTTAGGAAGTCAGGAGCGACCTTTATTCCTCCTCGCCGTATGGCCATGTACATTCGACCTTTCTCGGGTTTGAAACATGCTGACCAAGAACAGAGACAGATCTGCACTCACGAACTTGGTGGCCTTAAGCCTTTTAGCTGAACTTCATCTCAAAATTTCCGAGTCCATTGTCTCAGGACCTGGTTCTTTTGCTGCTGCTTTTCATAATGCTGCAAATAGAAGTTTTGGTGTAAAATCTGGAATCGATTTAAAGTTAATTTCTCCATGTTCTGTGCTATTAGTTTAGCGTCCTTTTTCTTTCTTTTTTTTTAAATTTGTGGGTAGCAAGTTCGACACGCTTTTGTTGTATGAAAAACTAGGAGTATGCAAAACGACGGCCCGAATTGGAAACTGCCTAGACCGAACCGAACTGGCCAGTTGGTTCCGGTTCCCGGAAGTGTCGATTCGATTCCTTGTTCCAGGGTGGGAACCGGACCGACCTAATATATATATTATTTTTTTTAAAATTTCTTAGAAAACCCTAAACCGCTCATCTATGTGATGCGTGTGTGTTTTTGCTGCCCTCGCTATCCATATGTCACGTGCTGTAATATTGTATGCCTTTAAGATAACGTTTGTGCTCTGTTCATGTCTACCATCAATAGTTGACTGCTGTAGTAACTTTAGCTGCTTTCCTTCAAGGTTCGGATCTTGCAAATGTCAGCATACATCTTCGGTTTGATTGCCCCGACGTGCTTGGCATTTTTATTTCTCCCAATTGCCAGGGGATCGATACTTCTGCATCCCTTTTGAGCATATGCCGATATCATATACGGTTGGGGAATCTCACCATGTTCCTAATTATGTATGGCATTTGCTATTTTATCGTATGGTTGGGAAATTTCTATTTCTACATTGACCGATTCCCGGTCTTAGAAATTGGGAATCGAATCAGATCGAGAACCAATCAACCCCATGAAAAACGCTCACAAGCCATCACATCCAGATTATGGATCTGGAATACAAGAACAAGATCTCGTTTGGTTTCAGATTCTCTTCAGTTTAATCATATCTTCTCAGCTTCAATATTTTGATTTAACATTAATGTTCTTCAACACCTTGAACAACACTTCCGTTGTCGTCCAGCGGTTAGGATATCTGGCTTTCACCCAGGAGACCCGGGTTCGATTCCCGGCAACGGAAGGCTTCTTTTTTTTTTCCTATTTATCTTTTCTCGAAATACTCGAAAATATAATTACGTTAATAAAAAGGACAAAAAAAGTGAAAAATTGTAAAGAAAAAAGGTCCTACCGGGAGTCGAACCCAGGTCGCTGGATTCAAAGTCCAGAGTGCTAACCACTACACCATAGAACCAACTTTCGGTATGTCTCAGTCTTTTATACTTAACATATATTAATATCTCTGAATAAATAGCAAACCAAGGATTGTCAGCATAAACGATAAGGATAATAACACAAATAGTCCCTGAATTTTAATTTAATGTGTAATGTAGTCCCTAAACTTTTAATTTATTCAATGTGGTCCCATGACTTTTGGTTTATGTTCAATGTATTCCTCGAACTATGTGAAAATGTTTTAATGTAGCCCTTGTATTAGAATTAATTGAAGGACTACATGCTCAAGGACTAAATTGAACATGTACTAAAAGTTCAAAATGGCATTGAACAAATTAAAAGTTCATGGACCATATTGTACATTGTACCAAAGTTTAGGAACTGTTTGTGTCATTTTCCCTAAACAGTTACTGAGGATAAATCAAGGAATGTTGCAAGGATTACTTACGTCTAATTGCACGACATTTGGGCTTCATCTATTTCTCGAAAAATGAATGATCCGTAAAAATGACCGCTTATATATGTCGAAATAATTAGTCAATGGAAAATATTTTCATCATCGATAACAATATATGTCTAAATATTTTCATGGACGATGGACATATCTTACATTCGGTCATTTCTGTAAGCGATATAAGTAATTATTTTTAAAAAATACTTTCTAAATCATTCATTTTTTGCGAAATAAACAACGCCTTAGTTCCATAAGACGAGAAAAAAATTGGAGCCCATTTTATTTGTCTTTCGTTTGACCAAGAAGAAATTATTCGTACCTCCTCCCTGTCGGAAGGATGGAAAAGATTCGTTTTTTTATTTCAAATCTCCTCGTGTTTATAGTCGTTCCAGGCTCGAAAACTTCTAACATTTAGTATTAAGAATACGACAAATATCCAAAGACATTCAACACGACAAAAGCTAAAATCCCCAAGTAAAGCCAATACCCATTTCTCTCTCCCTTCCACACACATCGATTTATCATGACGTCTTCTTGTATAGCAAGATTTAGGTCTCAAATACCACCACGCCACGAGCCGATCCCGGCCGGCGCTCGGTACCGGAAAGACAACAAGTGGTGGAGAATCTATACACAGACGTTCTCACCTACCTAAATCTAACACACCGCATGTGGAGAAAAGGCATCAGCCTGCTTTCTGGCCTGTGACATTTGTTTCATCAAAGCAATTTGCACAAACGATGGGTGGGGGTGGGGGGGAGCATTGATTGATGACCATACCAATTTGATTTCCCACAGCCAAAACCCCATTTCAAAAGAGAGTTTTTATGATGACATGACTCTGGTGCTCTGCAGGTTTGGACCACGCTATCCCTACTCTCTCCCTCTGTTTCAGCTCCAAATTAAATGCATCGCTTCAAAGGATGGATCCCTCTCCATCACCGATCGTATAGCGTTCGGAAACTCGAGGTCTTTTCGGACTAATCCATCGTCGCATCGTCCTGTACATGAACATTTCTTCTTCAAAACATACAAACACTCACTATCTTAACGTCCTTTTTAGCGAGAAATGGTTCTCGGGACATCGAAGAAACCTCTCTCGAGATTCATTCGTTTAGGAGTGTGTGTTCAGGATGCCTAATTGGGAAACATAAAGATCGATCCCTGGGACAAAAAAAAGCGAGACATTGTAAAGATTTAGAATGATCTATGTCTCGGTCTGCTAAGTCAAGTCTTTCATGGAAGAGAGCACGCCACCCACCCACCCACCCACTGTCTCAAGCCAATCTGTAGTTTTCTCAAAACATTAACTCGACCTCACATGAACCTTCACCGCAGCTCTACTACGTACTACAGACAATATATGTTTATAATATCTGAAAGTCAAACACATGGGAGTGTCTGTCCAGTCAATTCTCAAATTTGAAAAAAGGAAAAAAAAGAAAAAATCCTTGGCTGGAGTCAGGGAAGCAGCAGACAGATGGGTTTTGGTAAATTTCAAGTTTTGTTGGCTGAGGTTGGCGAGCATTGAGTGATTTGACCCAGTACAGATGAGCCAAATGCTGCATATCGTTACAAATAAAATAAAAAAAAAAGAGAATAATTTAGATTATTGAGGTATTTGTCAAATTCCATCACCACTTACATGTGCACATGTAATTTCCTAATTTAGGAATTTGAACAGGGGAGTCCATCGTCATATAATGTCACGGTAATTATGATTCGAAAATAATAATTCGATGGAGTAGATATCGAAGAGATTGTTTTGAGATTCTCAAATTTTCTGTTTTTTTTTTCCTTTACTGTTATCTTTATCAGGTTAATTTTCAAGCATCATATTAAACCAATTCTCATTTTCGTCAAATACTAATTTGAAACCATGGTGCATCAGGAAAGGTGAAACATGTACTGTGTCTTTTTAAACCTAATTTCCTTGATTAAATAGAATACCGTCAAAAAGTAAAAAAAAAAATTTGGGCATGCAAGTAAATTTAGCTCCGAGAGAGTTCCAGACAGACAGAAGCTCATCTCAGAAGTCATTCCACTTCCCGGCTCATCTTCGTTTTCTCTTCAGAAGAAAAGGGCAAAGCCTCATTGTCCTTCTCATTCTAGTTAACTGCTTATTGTTCCTGAGAGCAAAAAACCCACAAGCCAATGTAAAGAGCGAGCAATCAGGTGAAAGTGCCATGTTCTTAGCACTCTTCTCTCGTTCAGATTCTTTCATTTCTCTGATGATTTTGCCTCCCCACTGCCATTAGTTTTTTTTTTTTATAGCAAAACCAAGTGATTTCCTTCACTGTGGTTAGTTTGCTTTGTGGGCAGATCATGTATAAGAACCAACTGCAAGAACTTGCGCAGAGAAGCTGCTTCAACCTCCCTTCTTATGCCTGCATCAGAGAAGGGCCAGATCATGCTCCGAGATTCAAAGCTTGTGTGAACTTCAATGGCGAAATCTTCGAAAGCCCGAGCTACTGCAATACGCTGAGGCAGGCAGAGCATGCGGCTGCAGAAGTAGCCCTCAATGTCCTCTCCACAAGGGGTCCTTCAAGATCTCTCACTGCAAGAGTCCTTGTAAGTTTCCTCAAATTGATGTTTGAATTTTTTCCATCTTCGAAGGGAATGCTTTTCAGCATATTGTTTTGAGCTTTTTTAGCTAAAGCTTCCATTTTGAGAATATTTATGTGGTTTTTAAGCAAAACAGAACAAGCCCATGTTTGCTCCCTGCATGGGGTTTTACGTTTTAGCTTCTGAATCATCTTGGTCATTGATCACTGTGAAGGACGAGACGGGGATCTACAAGAATCTGCTCCAAGAAACGGCTCACAGGGCAGGCCTGAACCTGCCTGTGTACACGACCGTGAGATCAGGCCCCGGTCATGTTCCCACCTTCACTTGCACTGTGGGGATTGCTGGGATGAGCTTCACTGGTGAATCAGCCAAAACAAAGAAACAAGCTGAGAAGAATGCAGCGATCGCAGCCTGGTCTGCACTCAAAACAGGTAAAACACTAGGTGCAAAGTTACCCTCTTTTCCTCACTCATTTGCCATATTTGAGTCCGTCAAAGACCAGATTGATTAATGCCTCTTCCTTTTGCAGTGCCAGACCTGAGTTCTTTGAGGCCCAGAGATGAGGCTAAGCAAGGGATCAGGAGGAGGGATCAGAACCAACCAAGAAGAGGATTGATCAGGGCTAATGCAGTGAACCACTCTGCTTCCCCGTCCACAAGCCTTCAATTGCACAGGCTCTTGGAGGAGTTGCTAATGAATTACATCCCACAAGCACAAGGTGGTCCTTCTTCTTTCTCATCGTCGTCGTCATCTTCACAGAAGCAGAGTTGCTTCCTGTCTCTGCTTCCGCCACCCCCACCAAGATCAGCTTCAAAGATTCTACCACCACCAAGAGATAATCGATGGGATAAGGAACAAGACTGCGGGAAGAGACCCATAGGGTCAAGTATTTACCCAAGTCCAAATATTGTCAATAAACGAAATGATCATCCGAAGCTTGCAAGACCCAACTCCTCATTGTCATTCCTTGAAGGGACTAGCAGAGATGGACATCATGCCCACACCAGAAATGGGTCCGGATTATGCCCACGATCCGTTTACACAGGCGGATTCCGCCCACACCGGATCGCCCCGGCGGTCCAGATCCGATCGGTCATTCCGGTGTGTGCAGCGCCACCAGCACCATTGATGAGGACACAACTACCAATTTTGGCAGATGATCCCTTGTGTCCACAAACAGGGCTAGAGATTCCACCAACCAGCTCGAACCCGAAGTTGGACAAGCTTGTGCTTGAGCCGGACTCGGCTCAACTCGGTTCGGAGCTGAACAAGAAGTAACAGTTGGAAAGAAAATCTATATAATATCTAGTTTGGACCATGGTAGGTAACTTTATGGATGTCGATTGTCCCCTGTATTCATTTTTCTTTTGTTGTTCTGAAGGGATCGTTTTTGACTCCGAGCGTGATCCTGCGGTCATTGGCTATATTACCCTATGGTCATATTTCCAGGAAAATGGCGGGTGGATCAATCTTCTTTCTTTAATCTACGAATATCATTTTTACTTTGTCTGCGCAAAGGCGAGATGCTATCATGTCTAGACTATTTCAAACGCTCCTTAGATACGTCATTTTCGAACTAGAATCGATCAGGCTGCTGAATTCAAGGATAAGATCAAATGTGAGTTAAAAAAAAAGGTTCAATGCCATGCGAGGCGATTTGAGCTCGGCCATGATTTTTCCATAAGCAAGGTCTCCAAACAAGATCCTTGAAGCACCCTTTTTGCATGCATATAAATCCTGATGAATTCGAAATATTAAGTATCAGATCAAAGTACAGTATTCGAAAACACTTCAGGCCAAGCAAGCTGACATACTTGCAATTAACTGCCTGAAATGAGCTATATACCAGAAGGATGAAAGAAATTTACTGTTCGATCGAAATTGCTCAAAGAAAACATTAATGAGGGACCTCTAACTTCTACTGGGTGTTTACATAGCTCGAATTATTGCACCTGCACCTAGAGAGGGAGAGAGAGAGATGGGGCATTAAATGAGGTGGGAGGGGGTGGGTTCAAAGAGATAAGAAGGGTATGAAGAGGACGAACAGACAATTGCAGCGATTAAGGCAAGCAATTAATATTACTCTCTCCAGTCTCAGAAGTATTTAATGTTCTTGTCTTCGCCATTAAATGCCTCCTCCCCCTCTTATCTTTTTCTTGGCTCATCTCTCTTCTTTATTCCTTTGTTTGTCCCGACCCTTTCTCTCGAGACCTTCTTTTGATGCTATTATGCCTAAGCATTGGCCTGACCTCTCGTGATAATGTCTCTTCGACCCCAACACCACCACCCCCCTCTTTTCAATCCCCACCCGCGATCTTCATAGAGCCAATCACGAATTCATGGCATATGAAGTCCATATAATGTTGTACAGATTCTTTGTAGTTTTGCTTGATTTATGTGATCTGATTGGTCTGACTTATTTGGGTTTGCAATATAATGATGGCATGTTGGAAGGGTTCTTCACTCGGAAAACTGTCAACTTTCACGGAAGGGATTGCAAGTATAACGCAAAAACGCACCAACTTTCATTTCGAAGACAATTTCAGTCATAACTCTTAATTGTCGCATGAAAATGTGCCAACTTTTACCCAAAAGACAATTGTGACGGAAATTTTAATGGTAGTCAAAATTGTTCTTCGAGTAAAAGTTGGTGTTGTTTTGTGCGACATTTAAAAGTTTGGGCCAAGATTCAAATTCTAATTAATTATGAATCATATTTAACAACTTATAACTCATGAATATATGACTAATAATAAATAACAAACATATATAAATTATGTTCGGAAAATTTCAATTACCATACTTTTCAATTATAGATAATATGTAAAAAATTAGTGAATAATTATAATTGCCAAATAATACGATTAATATTGAGATATTCATATTCCAAATTATATTTGGGAAATCCCCATTATTATACTATCATATTAAGGGAAAGTTCCAAATAAGGTTCTGAAGTGCCATTATTTTCTCAAATAAGGGTCTGAAGTGATCATGTCAGTCTCAAAAAAGGGTCTACCATGCAAGTTTCAAATAAGAGCCTTCCTTACTAGTTGGCTAAATATTCCGGCCGGTCAAGGGCATTTTCGTCCAAAGGAAATTTTAATTTTAAATTATTTTTTTTCCTTGTTTTCTTTTCTTTTTTCTCATTTCTGTTTTTTTTCTTTCTGACGAGGGCCGGCAAGCCCTTGTTAGTCGCTTCATGTCGCTCTCGTCGACTTCTGGTGAGGCGACCCTTGCCAAATTGGACGAGGTTGACCCTCGCCTAGCCCTCTCCGGGCATTGTTGGTGGTCGGCCATCGACAAAGAAGAAAGAAAAAAGAAAAAAATAGGAAAATAGAAAAAAAGGAAAAAAAATCAAGAAAATGTAAATGATGAAAATGCCCTTGACAATCTGGAAAATTAGGCCCTTCTTTGAAACTGACATAGTCACTTTAGGCCCTTTTATGAAATAAGATCTACTTTAGATCCATATTTGAGAAAATAAGGATACTTATTTGAGAAAATGATGACACTTTATGCCCTTATTTGGAATTTTTCCTCAAATTAATGCAAGTACATTAAAAAAATCAAATGTATTGAAAATTCTCGTTCCCACAACGTTTTCTTTTTCTCACAACCAAATAAATGAATGCTCTTATCTATTCCCATAGCTTGCCAAACGAAATATCGAAATCATCCTTCCATTCAATTCTCTTTCAGCTTTATTATGTCTCATCCTCCGATTCTATTCCATTCCGCCGTAACAAACGCAACATAAGTCCAACCCTTTTTTATTCTATTCATAATTGAATGATTGTATTTAGGCTATCGATTTTCACTTTGTTGGAATTGGATAAGAACTTTAGACGACTTTGTACCAACAAAATTAGGATATAATAATTTGCATCCTATTGACAGCATAATAATAATCTTCAGCCCATTCATTGATGTTGATTAAAATTACCCAAGCATTATTATGCGAAACACTCCATTTTTTAGCACCAACTTGAGTCTTTTTTTTTCCACCATGGAATGCACTGAAAAATACACTTTCAAATCAAGCAATATACATCAACATAGCCTCTTTTATAGGCATTCGCACACGTGTTAACGGTTTATCCTTAAGCATTGGCTTCCCACATCAGTCAAACTTTCCACGTTTCCAAACAAAGAAAACACGACACGACAATCTCTCTCTCTCGCAGGTAACTTTTCTGTCCGTACATTCCCAAACACGCATACACACTCTCTCTCTCTACCCCTCCATGCATGCAACGACCATTTCAACCCTCAAAAGTCACAAACTAACATTAGATCAATCTCTTTGAGATCTCTCTTCCAGTTAATCTTCCTCTTCGCCTTCTTTTTCTCTTGACCTTCCAAGGAAGAAAAAGAGAGAAAATCTGATTAATCGTTCGGCAACATCATAGCGCAACGAACAATGGAGAGCGACCCTTCCGACAAATCCAACCCGATCACCCCCAGGGAGCATGATCTGAAAGAGAATGGCAATTCTTCACCGGTGTTGAGGTCTCCTGAGGCCGATCGACAAGAAGGTTGGATCACCAGTCATGTAGAGAGGAATGATGAGGATGAGGGGAAGAAAGATCAAGAGAAGATCGATGCGAGCGAGATTGCTGAAGAGGAGGTTGATGATGTTGATCGTGAAGTTCGTTATAGCCTTGAGAAGGCCTTGGAAGACATTGACAAGCTTGCCGCAATTCTTTCCTCCACCAACAATGAAAATGATTCTTCGGAAATCCCCGAATACGTCGGCAAGCTCATGGATTATGTCGAGGCCAAAGTAGTAAAATATTGCACCGATTTGGGTGAAGGGAAGGCAAAATGGTCTCAAGACCCAGAGGTCAATTCTTTTTTGGAAATTGTCGATCGCCTCTCGAAGCTGGCAACCGTACTCGAACCCTCTAAATGCAGAGAAAAGTTTGGTTCCTTGATTAATCGGGTCGGGAGCATCCAACAACGAGCTCTGTCGTTTTTGGAAGATGAATTCAGGTAAAGAAGCTTTTGACTACGTTAGCCTCTTAGCTTTAGTTTTTCGTCGATTTTTAGCATAATTAAGACATGTCATAATTCATTCTGATTGATTGGTGTGGCGTGAATGCACGCTAATGAATCTACTGCGTAATCTTTTCCATATTCCAGGTTGTTATTAGATGAATGTCGGCCTATTGACTTAGAGAAAGAAGAAAATGTCAAATTGAAACAAGAATCCATTGAAGAATCAGATCAATCCATTGAGGAGGGCGATTCATTTGTATATGCAGATGATATCGTATCTAGTTTGAACAAGATAGCGAAGGAAATGGTCTCATGTGGCTATGAAAGCGAGTGCTGTCAAGTTTATATAGTCACGAGGAGGAATTCGTTCGAAGAACTATTTAACAAGTTCGGGTTTGAGAATATTAGCATCGACGACGTGCAAAAGATGCAATGGGAAGCTCTAGAGAGAGAGATTGTCAAGTGGATCAAAACCTTCAAACAATGTGCATCAGTGCATTTCTATCGAGAGTTGAGGCTTGCAGAGGCTGTGTTCGCGGGATATCCATCAATTGCAACTCATCTATTCTATAATCTCACTCGAAGCATGTTGATTCAAATCTTGAATTTCTCTGAAGCTGTAGCAATGTCATCAAAGCGGTCGGCCGAAAAGTTGTTCAAGTTCATGGACATGTTCGAGACTCTACAAGATACGACATCTGCCATGGATCGATATTTCAAGGATGAAGACAGTGCAAACCAATTAAGGTCGGAGATTTATACCGCACGATCTCGGATCGGGGAGGCTATTGTGAGCATGTTCAGTGACTTAGAAAACTCGATCAAATCAGATACAGGTACAAAAGTCAGACATTCAATCCCCAATTGGCATTCTTCGATAAATTCAAAAGATTGAAGCAATTAGATAATAGTTAAATTGTTTTTTTATCGTGTCCATTTATTGCAGGTAAAAACCCTGTGCCTGGAGGTGCAGTTCACCCCTTAACAAGTTACACAATAAACTATCTAAAGTATGCATGTGAGTACAAAGAAACCCTAGAGCAAGTTTTCAAAGAGCACTTGAAGATCGAACGAGCTGACTCCAACAACAGAACAGAATTTCAAGGCGAGAACAATCAGAACAACTCAGAGAAGGAATCATCACCATTCTCAATCCAATTAACACGAGTCATGGATTTGTTAGATTCGAATCTTGAAGCAAAATCCAAGCTCTACAAGGACGCGTCGCTGAGCTTCATATTTATGATGAACAATGGACGGTACATCTTGCAAAAAGTGAAAGCCTCGGCGGAGATCAATGAGTTGATGGGCGACAATTGGCGACGCAAGAAATCATCCGAGCTAAGGCAGTATCACAAGAATTATCAGAGAGAAACTTGGGGTAAAGTCTTGGGTTGCTTCCGAGACGAAGGGTTGAACGTGCATGGGAAGGTCTCGAAGCCGGAGTTGAAGGAGAGGTTCAAGACCTTCAACGCGATGTTCGAAGAAATTCACAAGACGCAGAGTGCATGGATCGTGAAGGACGAGCAGTTGCAGTCGGAGCTTAGGGTTTCAATTGCGGCCGTGGTAATCCCGGCGTACCGGTCGTTCCTGGGCCGGCACTCGCAGCATTTCACAGCAGGAAGGCAATCGGAGAAGTACGTAAAGTATCAACCGGAGGACCTGGAGATGTACATCGACGAGCTCTTCGACGGGACCCCGGCGACTACGGGGAAGAGAAAGCAATAGAAAGTAAATTGTTGGTAGTCCAGAATCCCATCTAAAAAGCTACAAGGATTAAGAGCAGAACCTCATTTGACGCCATGAAATGTGCGATGACCGTGACTTGTTTCATACTCCATTTGAGTTGATGGCTAGAGAACTCGCGAAAATAGCTTGTGGCCGGTCATCTACAAGCACTTGGTTTTCTTTGTCACTGTGACAAGATTTTGAGTTGCTTAGGGCTGATAAAATGGCCCCGTTTTGTCTATATATCTTTTTGTCTTGGTTTGTGCTTTCATGTCATTTGATGTTTGTATCATATGCTTAAGAACAATGTAAAATTTGTTCTTTTGTAGTTACAGAGGTTATATGCAAGAGCAGTAGCAATATTCAATCAAACGGGCATGAATCCAATATCAAATTAAAGAATTCACCTCGTGAAGGAAAATAATGTGCAAGTAACCGACGAGGACGAATCCACTCCCATCAAAACATTATTCAATTTGAATATCAGCGTGCAATCCATGACGATGTTCAATTTCAATAAGCGTACAACTTCAGCATATCAACGTCTAATCCGATATTGGCATGCAATAGATAAATAATACGCAATTGATAGGTCCGGCATCAGATTTTCAGCCGATTGTCACTTTTTTATAGCTTCAAAAGTAAATTAAGCTTTATGAATAATATTGATTTTGTTATCGAGAAATTAACTGGTCGAGCTCAACTTTGTAGCCCATCTACAACTATCATATTCACATTGCATTTGATCCTAAGTAGGCCTGTCACATGCATGGGTGGGTCGGGTCGGATTTGGATCGATCGAAAAATGATCAAATCCATATTGACCCATTTAACTAGGGGTGAGCATGGTTCCAGGATTGAACCGGGAACCGGTAAACCGGACCGGTGCGAATGGGTCCGGATCCAGGTTCTAGGGATGGAGGTTCCAGTTCTTGATTCTACTTTTTTAAGAACCGCCGGTTCTCGGTTTCACTTTTTTAGGAACTGAACCAAGAACCAGACCGAAACCTAAATACCTAATTTTCTTCCTCTGTTACCTTTTATTTTGTTGTGGCATAGTATGCCATTAGATAAATATCGTATACTCTATCTGTCATAATGATTTCTCTCTTCTTAGGAGCCCAATTGAATGAGCTTAATTCTGCAAGAACGTACTTGATGATTAATTTCCAAGCTTAGTCCACGTTGAGTACTAGAGTGTGAGTCCAAGCATAGTTTATTTGGAATTTGTGGGATTAATAGCTTACACTTTACTTGTTCGGTTTCATCGACAAAGAGTATAATTAGAAATTCATCTTCAGAGGGGAAAAGAAAGATGATACTTACCTGAAAAGCATGGAATGTCTACATATATAATCATAAGTGGGTTTGAGTTGTTTAAATGCTGCATTTAGCCCGTATCCATATATAATCGTAATTTTGAAAATGAATTGGTACAATAGCCCTTGGGTTTTTTTGTTGGTTGACTGAATCAATGAGAAGCTTTCATTTTTATTGTTGCGTTCATTTTTGTTTTGCTTAACCAAAAAAAAAAAAAAAAGAACCTGTTAGATACTAGAACCGACCCTTGAACCTGTGATAAAGGTAGTTCCAGATTTCAAGTTCCGACGGGTAGGTTCCAGATTCCAAAAAATGAGGAACCTGTATCCACTGGTAGGTTTTAGGTTCTAAGTGGAACCCGTAAGGAACCTGGAACCGCTCACCCCTACATTTAACCTAGTTTGATCCATTTCCATACAACACAATTCTAGTGACCCATACCTGACCAACACATATTTGATTCGATCCATATTACTAAAAGATTTAATATTAGATCCAATTCAGAAAAACTTATTTCTTATAAATTATTATATATTGCTAAAATATTGCGGACAATTTTTATAATTTTAGAAAAATTCTGATTTTTAAATTTTTTTTTTCTTTTTTTTCTTCTACGTCTGTCGGCGGTGACCGGCGATGATCGACAATCAGTGACTTGCAGCTGGCGATGATCGACGATCAGTGGTGACCGGCGACGACCGACGACCAACGGCGTCCGGTGACTGGAGGTCGGCGACGGCGACCCTTGCCGGATTTCCTAGAAAAAAAAAGGAAAAGAAAGAAAAAACTAAAAACTATGAAAAATCAGAAAATTAAAAGAATTAAAAAAATGACTTATTCATCTATGACTCACTTAACTAACCCATTTATGACTTGTTTGAAACCCATTTAAGACCCATTAAGTTGTTAACTAACCCATTTATGATCAAGTTAAGCTTGTTTTTCAAAACTTAAGCAATCCATTTATGACCCACATTATTAAAAATGGGTTAAAATATGGATTCTAGACCCATTTTGTCACCTCTAATTCTAAGACAGCATGTGACAGGTGAAAAAGTTTAGAACTAGCAATGCTTCTAAAATAAACCATTCATCAAAAGAACAAGTGAAACTTGTTCCTTAAAACTATTTTGCCATGGGTAATCTTATCAACCGCAAACGATCACATGTCTTGTTGATCTAGAGTCACAAGCTAAAAGATTATTAATTGCAACAAAGACGTCACTATAGTCGATGATTTGATCATGGACTCAACTTACATGTTGAAAATATATATCGAGTTTGAGCCCGTCAAATCATAGGCGGCCCAAATGAAGTGAAGAACATGGACTTCTTGGTTGTGGAAACCAAAAAAAATGGGGCACACAAGTTAATTTTCATGTTGAAGTCAGCCAAGTGAAATAGAAAGGGAAAGCTGGACTTGGTTGACTTGAATCAACCGAATTCAATTAGGATTACATGAAAGATATGTTTCCATCTTGAAGTCGACTACTTCACTTTGTTATCTTACATGCTTGGCTGGTCTGGTAAGATATTAAGCCTATATACATGTCGGAGCTTTGTGTATTCTGGTTGATGCGATGGCAGAGTATATATATTCACTTACTCTGCCGTCAATATATATTTAGATATTGATAAAACAATGGCTAGTATTTCTTTTTTAATAGTGGAATAATTTTGTTGAGTTTGATTTCAATGTCTGGAAACAAATTGTATGATTTGCTCTTTATTATTCTTGACTTGTTTGAGTATTCCTCCATAGCCAATTGCTGAGGCATTTGTTTTTACTATTTTGAATGGAGACGGATTAGCAAAATGTAGACAGGGTATTTCTCTATCATGAGTTTTAATTTGTTCAATAATATTAGTATGGGTTGATGTCCAGGGTGGACGATTTTTTTGTAACATTTGATGTAAAGGCTTACAAAGTATGTCAATGTTCAGGAAGAAATCTGAGATATAATTGAGACTCCCTACGAATATTTGTAATTGAGTTTTGTCTCGGGAAATTTTTCCGCAAATAAGATAGGTCTTTCTATAGGAATAATGGATCCCAGCAAGTTCTAATGAAAAAACAAAGAGAGACGAAAAAACGGACTGAAACTCCCGGCCTCTGTAAAGCCTAGGGAAGCACCCTCTGACTCCGATCGACGGTCATCCAATTTTCGAGTGCTATCCAAAAGCTTCCTTGTGGTGTTGGGTGCAAAAGGAACGACTGCAGGCCAGAATCACAGCAGAGCGTTAGGCAAACGAAGAAGAAGAAGAGCGTGGGGGGGCGAAGAAGAAGAAGTGAAAGAAATAACTAGACGAACTTGAGATGTGAACCGGGTACAGTCGGGTTCATACGTATCATCAAAATGCAATGCACCACACGCACACACGCTGAGGCATCAAGCAGCAACAAATGTGAAGAACGTGGGGAAGTAGCCGAAAGGTCATAATATCCTAAATCTCATTCCAAATACTTTCTAATGAGATATCACGAACGCTTCTGCATCAGAAACATCATCTTGCTAGACTGTGCAGCAACCATTCGGTTCGGTACATATAAATCTTCTTATGAACGAACGGATACTCATTCTAACTAACGATGGTATGAACGAAGGGATCGCCCGAGGTGGTGGTGATATTTAGGGCGCGTTTGGTAACGCTTCTGTTTCTCTATTTTTCTGTTTTTCTGTTTCCTGGAACTAAAAAAGAATAGAAACCTGTTTGGTAACGCATTTTATTTTTCTATTCCCAGAAATAAAAAAGTGGCCAAGAAATAGATTTGAAGCAGAAATAAGAAATAGAAAATATCTACTTCTTTGTTCTCAGAAATAGAAATAGAAATAGGAAGGTAAAAAGGGTTATGTAAACCCTAAAATTTTTACTTCTTACCTCTTCTTCCTTTCGAGCAGCGGCTTCTTCGGCTCCTCCATCATCCGTCATCTGCAGAGCACCGGCCACCACCCCCGTCACTCGCGGTAGAGGTGCAATTCCGGCCTTCCTTCTCGCTCGCTCGCTGGAACGCCCCGCGCGAGATTGCCAGCGACCAAATACCCTTGAGGGCCGGCGCGGCGTTCGTTCCCGGTTCGAGGGTCTCGAGCTCCCGATTACGCGCATTACGGTTCCGTCCTCGCCTCGATTGGCCGGCGACGGACGTCCGTCGATCGGATTTAGCCCCCGCGGTTTTTGATGTCTGGCGGTTTCTGGCGATTCGTCTTTGCAGGTAGCACGACGCCGGGACTTACGACGCGAGGACGAAGACTGCCGGTCCGAACGGCTCGATTCGGAACAAGGAAGAGTACTCCCACGGTGCCAATGCTGGCTTGAAGATCGCTCTTGATTTCTGTGGTGAGCGCTCCCTCCTCTTTCTGAGCTACCTGCCTTTAGGTTTCTCTGCCTTCGCGGTGTTGATTCCTTTGGCGGAGCGGTGTCTACGCCTCTTCGACATCCGTGCCTGAAGTAGTTTCTGGAGTTCATCTATTCATGCATCAACGGCAGTTTGGAGGACGAGCATGCAATTGTAGGTTGTGATTGTGCAATTCCCGTTGCATGCTCGTTTGATACTAAATATATGTAGGTGCATATATTTTGAGAGTCCAATTTCCATGGACGTATGTCTTCTAATACTTCAATTATAGCTTTCCTTCATTTGCTGCTGTGGGAGGAGTTGCTTTTGCTTATGTTTTGTGTCATTTGATGAGTAATGGTTGACTTAATCATCTTACGATGTTTAGTGCACACGTGCGGGGCGCATCGTCTGTTATGTCGAAGACAGTTAACAAGTTTGTTAACATGATGCTATGTACTTACAAGTTCTTGAAGGGCCAAGCAGTGCGTTTGCAATTTTAGTTGGCTTAACATTATACTCTGGACTTATCAACGGGATTTAATCTGCGTACTCTGATTTACTTTTGTTACTTGCCCGTGGCATAGTGTTAGGTTCATCTAACCAAATTTAGATATATTTCCAATATTCATCAGTATAGAATGCATGAAGATAGTTGTTGCTTTAGACATTGATACTTTCTTTAAAGAAATCCCTACAGTCTTCATAAAGTTGAGGTATATGTATTATCTTATGTTCAGTTTATGAGAGCATGCTTAAGATGGGTGGTTTAGTATTCAGTCTAATGCTTCCATGATTGTCGACCAAGGAAATTCTAAGACCTTTGCATATGTTTTACATGAGTTACCCTGTAGATATGTTATGATTATAAGAGTTTCAATTATACAACTGTACGAACCCATCATGGATAATGTCATAGCTTTGATGAATCGAGTTTTTTTGTGAATGGAGTTGAGATATAACTTCAGTCAGTATATTTACATTTGCTTTTCTGTTGGATACAGAGGAGGTGAAGTCCAAGTGTCCAAAGATTACATACGTAGATCTATACTAGGTGAAAAGACTGTTTAAAGGATTTGTTCTTCCATCTTACATATTACGAGTCGCCTCTCCCAATAGGTGGACGAAATCTCTGTTGATATGACTAGCTTAGTTTGAAAAAGACTTCGAATTCTTGCCATTTAACTTTGAAGTTTTATTCCCTCCAGCATGCAACATCTTTAAAACTAATGTGCATACACGTATGGAAGCCCTTAATTGGCATAACCGACATATTCTCCATATTCAGATGCTTTAAGAGCAAATCTTTATCTATCTTGTTTTCAATCCCCTGGGCATTTAGTTCTCAGTTGCTTGTAGGAAATCTCCTCTGTCTAGTTCAACTGGTATTGTTCTTGGTTGATTAGTGGTTGGATGATGTTATATATAGCTGATCGATTCTAGTGGTTACTATTAAAAATGATTTATCAATTTGCAAGTATTGATCATTATGAGCGAAATGCCTGTTTCAGCTAGCAGGAGTTGTTGCAGTAGAAGTCACTGGAGGTCCCACTGTCGACTTTGTTCCCGGAAGAAAGGTACTCTGTTTTAGCTGTATGTGAGCAAGATAATTCTTACGAGTGCCTTATTCACTAAGTTTTTTTCTACCTGTAGGATTTAAAAGTTTCTCCAAACGAAGGAAGACTTCCAGATGCTAATCAAGGTATTCTGTTGTGTCAACTTTCCCTTTGTTGTTTGGCCTCCCTTCATTTCCCTCCATCCCTCCCTCCAAATATTATGGGCCACTGTGCTTCTTATTGCTCCAGGCAAAACGTTAAATAGCTATTTATTGTTTTCCTTAAGGTTGCTGCCTGTTAATCTTGAAATGTATGTCCATCTCATCTGAATGTCAATTAGTAAGTTTCCAGGGGAATGATTTGAATGAGATAAGAAGCACAGTATATATGCTTCTCTTGTAGAGCATTTTCTTGTGGGTGGATTTGGGATGTGATTATGTGGAAATGGTGATCTTTCATTTTGATTAACTAAAACTGAAAAAAAAAAAAGAATGATATTTATTGTGTATGACGCTACATTAGTCCTTGTCTCAATTGCACTTGGTTTGTTTGATTGGATTCTCTCTGTGAAGCATGATATTTCTTGTGTCTATCAGTCTTTTCTTGTGTGGTTTTTGGAGGAAAATAGAACAAAGAGGAAGGGTTATAGAGGAGAAATTTGTTTGTGATGCTTGTTATGTTCAACTCCTCATATTAACTTTGCATTGATTAAATTGGTACTTGCTGCCTGTTGAAGTTAGGCACCTGCAGCTAAAGAAGTTTGTGACAAAAGTAGCTGATAAGAAGGGGAAAACAGTTGAAGTGAAGAAGCAAGAGCAACTAGATCCTCTTGCTGGTTATGCAGCACTTGAAGGATTTTTAACTCCGTTTAAAGGTGAACGGTATCATCTGAATGATTATAAGGGTAGGGAGAGACAGCCCAGAACAGCAAGAGAATTGTTCAACCATAGGCATTCTTCATTAAGGAATGTCATTGAGAGGTCATTTGGGGCATTAAAGAATCACTTCTTCATTTTGAGACACATGCCTCTATTTACAATTTGCAAGCAAGCATGTATTGTAATTGCATACTGTGTTATCCATAATTACATTCGTGATCAAGATAGGATGGACAAAATTTTTTCGCTATATGGAGATCCGGACTACCCATTTGGACCTACACAAGTGGAGGATGCAGATAAGTGGCATAAGGAGGCAGTTGAGATGAACATGCTTAGGAAAAATATTAAATCAAATGGCAAGGAATCACAATATGCGTGAGATTCCATGACTTATGTTTCTGACTTTTGTTATGTTGTTTATAAATATTTGGCAACATTTTGTTAATTAGCAGGTATTATTATCGTTGTATTTTTGAAATCCAAAGCCTATGCAGCGTTTCAAACAGAGGTTTGGCAAGCTTTGAATATTTGGCAAAGCATGAGTTGATGGGATATTTTAGTACTAGGAGTATAGAGAATCTCTTTGGAGTGTTGGCATTCAACTACGTTTTTCTTGCTGCAAATGAAGACTACTCCTTCACTTACATGTTCAACTTTATTGGATGAAAACAAGATATAAATATATATATATATATATATATATATATATATATATATATAAGTCACAATCAAATTTAAATTGATTTTGTAAACTTAATCATTATAAGAAAATTAAGGATTCATGTCTATATAAATCAATTTTCAAAGTTACTGTGACTATTTAAGTGATTAATAAAGCGAATGGATCATATTCAAGCGCCCACTAAAATCGGCATCATCCACGTGTTATTATAATGTTGTATATGGAGTTTCGAATGTTCTTTATATATAGTGGCAAAGAATTCTATGCATCATATGAAAGAGTTCATAAAGAGAAAGAAATGTATAATCTTCTTAAGTAACAAAAATTAGTGACGTCAGCTGTTGTATATTATAGCACCATCAATGTTGACCTAGAGAGTTCTTCACATTCGTAGGATGAGTTATTGTTTTGTTTATTTATTGGTAATAAAAACAACTAACACATGGTTAAGATGTAAGCATTCTTTTTTATCTTTTGGTAATTTAATATGAGAATAAATAGTATTTATAATAGCGGTTGTGAAGAAACTTTTGAAATAGATAAATATGGTATTCAGAATAATAAAAAGATTACAATAATTAATTATATATATAAAGTAGTGTGAGTTAAAAAGGATTAGACAAACCAATAAACAATGCTTCTTGGTTTTTTTCATTTATAACTTGTACTTACACTTAAATAAAAGATATAAACTTGAATGAAAAAAATTAGAAATAGAAATTTTTTTGGTTGTACCAAACGCATTTTTGTTCTTTTTTTATTCCAGGAATAGAAATTTTGTGCGGTTACCAAACGTATTATTTTACTCAGAAACTCTTTCAAAAAATAAAAATAGAAAAAATTATTTATGAAAAGAAATTGTACCAGAAATAAAAAAGTTACCCTACGCACCCTCGATCAGACGACCCATCTCATCCAAACCCACCATCCTCCTTCGACGCCGGCCAAAGAGAAGAAATCGATAGAAAATAATAAATAAATGGATCCTCCTCCTTCAACAACCGAGAGAAAGAGAGAGAGAGAGAGACCTGGCCGAGAAAGAGGGCGTCCGGCTTGCCGTCTACCCAGATGTCGCCCATGACCTGGGCGATCGCGCCGCGGGTGGGGGCGAAGGGAACGCAGTCGATGTGGCTGATTTGGTACCGGAACTGCTGGAGGGAGTTGAGCTTGGCGACGATGGCCTCCTTGCCCTTGATCATCTCCCGGTCCTCAAAGTTCATCACCGACTCTTCCCGGTACAGGTTCACCAGGTCCCCCCGGTTCGCGTCGAACGTCCGGCAGTAGTCCTCCATGAACCGCTTGGCCTCCGCTCTTATCCGATCCGCGGTTTCTCGATCCATCGTCAGCACCGACCCGAAACCGGTCCGTCGGGTGGAAAAGACTAAAAAGCCCTTTCTTCTTCTTCTTCCAGTTCTGAAAAACCAAGACATGGTAGTCCCCCCTTCGCCCGTTCGACTCCTCTGCCTCCGACTCCCTCCTCCTCCTCCCACCCGTCGCCGGCGGTCGTGCTTCTCTGGCTCCCACGTAACTCTTTTTCCTTTCCTTTTGTTCATCCTATGTTCATTTATTTCATTTTTTATTTTCTGAGTGCTTCTCTTCAGAATTGTTTGATGAGGGGGGTGTTTTGATACAAATTGAGGCTAACTTGTGCTAGATCTGCAGAAAATGCAACGGACAGCACTTTTGGACAAGGTCGATGGGGTTAGAATCTCCTCTGAAGAGTTAGGAGGAGACACAGAGCCCCAAATTTCTCCTCATGTGAAAAATCTATTCTATATTGTAGATAGTCTTACTAGAGCTCAAGGGCAAATAAGTTTGTTGTCACATGATAATCAAGAGCTACAGTCCACCCTTGCTGACCTGGTTCTTGAAAAGAAGCATTTGCGGGAGGAAGTTGAAACACGTATGAGATATGAAGAAGACTCAGAGAAGATGAAGAGAGATTTATCTGAGCTAAGAGTTGTTTTGGAGAAAATTACAAATATGTTTGGTGGTAGTGAGTTAGTTGGAGACCACAATACTTCTAGCTTAAAGGGACTTTTAGCAACCTTAGAAAAGCAAATTGTGAATGTGCTTATGGAATTTGAAAACTCTAAATCGGAAGCCCAAGAACTTGAAATGAAGTTGTTAGGAAGCCAGAAGGTTGTGGAGGAGTTATCGAGTAAAGTTAAATTGCTTGGAGATTCACTTCAATGTAGAAGTACCCAACCAGAGATCATCCGGGAGAGAAGCATTTTTGAAGCACCTTCATTGCCTGCTGGTTCAGAGATATCTGAAGTTGAAGATGTGGTAATCTTTTCTTTTTTGGTTTATTCATACAGTTCCCTCACCCCCCACCCAACCACACTATTCTGCTTTCGGACCATGGTTTTACTGAGCACAGTAACCACAAATTTTGGCATGCATCTTGCTATTATATTCGAGTAATGGGCATCTTGGTATTAAAAGGTCATATCGAAGGCCCTCTTCTCATTCCCATTTGTTAGGAGACAGGACTGGAGATTTCTGTATGGATAATAGATTGTCTCATTTTGTATTTGTTTCCTTCCCTTGAGTTTTAGCTCCCATAGCTACTCCCAGAAAAGGTCATGGTATGTTTCCTTGATGCTACGTTTTCTTTCCTTAAGTAGACCATCAGAGAGCTACCTTCTTGTTCTAGCCGATGCTGTAGGTAGATGTTAGTTATTGTTTGAAGAACAGCCATTTTTATAGCTGCTGTTCCTGCCCTCCATTTCAGAATGGTCAAAGATTTCTTTGCATCTGAATACTGGTTGGATTTGCTGGGCATTGGGCTCATGATTTATTGCTGTTTCCGTTTCATAATTATTTCTGCCTTTTTTGATGATGCCTCGGTACGAATCATCTCTGACTTTGGAGCCTCTAGGTTAGAACCTCAGTATAGGAAGAAAACGAAAACCCGTGAAACTTAAATTAGGCAGGGGCAACTCATCTTAAAAGAAATTCACTGATGTAGCGCAGATCTACTTTGGCTCTTTCTGTGTTGAAAGTGTATTCTTCTTCTTTTATTCTTTCAAGTATCCCAACTATTCTGGTTGCAATATGCTGGTTGTCAGCAGTATCATATTATTATTAGTTGTTCATGCTTATGCAGGTATCAGTTGGAAAACTGTCGATGCCTCCTGTTCCTTCAGCTGCTCTGGCGCAGACTATGGGAAAAGGATCAGCAGACCATCTTGCTCTCAGCATTGACTCGGAGTCGAATCCTTTAATCGGCAACAAGGAAACCGATGAAGACAAAGGTATTGATTTTTTATTTATCTAGAGTAAGAAGGGCCGGAATCCAAGTATAAATTGTAACTAGAATTTTCCATGACGGGTAGATAACTTATGTTAGCAACACATTTTAAGCTTTACAGTGATTGGATTATCCACTACATTTCTGGTTTACTTAGCAAACCGAGTTACCTAAAAGGGAATAATTAGTGTTTATCAAAATTTTATACAATGGAAGAGTCCAGGCCGATTTCGCACAACTAGTGGAAAATAAAGAAGTACAATTGGTGGAAAATAATTTAAACTTATAAAAATTAGTGGAAAACAAAAAAGCAAAATTTCGCACAATGGAAGAGTCTAGACCCAAAACCCTCTGTCTGAAGTCCTCAATCAGATACCTCTCAGAAGGGAATCTCCTTACGGTTTCTCTCCACTCCTCATCGGAAACTATGGAAAACGCTCTCACCGGCTCTCTTCACATGGATGCTGCTCCATTCGTTCCCTTCTTCGGTAGATGTTTTTACGCACTGATGGATCATGCCAGGCCCCACATTGTGTAGTATTTTACGGAAGGTTCTCTTGTCATCCGCGATCATCAGTATGTCCACGGCCTAGCGCAGATTTGGGCTCTTTACAATACACTTGTTCCATCTGTTCACTATGTAACTAGATTCATGGTTTCGTGCTCGGATCCCATCACTGGAAATACTATAGCGAACTTCCGGGGGCTGTACGAGAACGAGCAGGGGGTGGTGAGAGAGTTTCTCGAGGTATTTTGTCTTAACCCATCCTACCATCCTTCGTTATCACTTTTTTTAATAACTTAATTGACATTAGGGTTCTTTAGACCTTCGGCCTGCAGCCCATCCCGAGACCCATTTTAGGCGTTGCATGCGTTTTTAGCGTCGTGTTCAGGACCGGAGATCATGGGGACAATTGCCACCACAGGCTATACCGTCGCCACTGGCTATACCGCCGCCGCCGCCGGCTCTACCGCCACCACAAGAAGGCAACAGTGTCGGGTCGAATGAGGTTTCAGTAGTGGCGGTACAACCGACAGCGACGACGGTATAGCCGGTGGCGGCGGCGGCGGCGGTATAGCCGGTGGTGGCAGTTGTCCCAATGGTCCCCCGATCCTGAACACGGCGCTAAAAATGCATGCAACGCCAAAAATGGGTCCCGGGATGGGCTGCAGGCCGAAGGTCTAAAGAGCCCTAATGTCAATTAAGTCATTAAAAAAAGTGATAACGAAGAATGGTAGGACGAGTTAAGACAAAATACCTCGAGAAACTCTCCCTGCTCGTTCTCGTACAGCCCCAGGAAGTTTACTATAGTAATTTCGGTGATGGGATCTGAGTACGAAACCATGAATCTAGTTACATAGTGAATAGATGGAGCGAGTGTATTGTAAAGAGCCCAAATCTGCACTAGGCCTCGGGCATACTAATGATCGCGGATGACAAGAGAACCTTTCGTAAAATACTGCACAATGTGGGGCCTGGCATGATCCATCAGTGCGTAAAAACATCCACCGAAGAAGGGAAGAAATGGGGCGGCATCCATGTGGAGAGAGCCGATGAGAGCGTTTTCCGTGGTTTCCGGCGAGGAGTGGAGAGAAACCGTAGGGAGATTCCGTTCTGGGAGGTATCTGATTGAGGACTTCAGACAAAGAGGGTTTTGGGTCCAGACTCTTTCATTGTGCGAAATTTTGTTTTTTTGTTTTCCACTAATTTTTATAAGCTTAAATTATTTTCCACCAATTGTGCTTCATTATTTTCCACTAGTTGTGCGAAATCGGCCTGGACTCTTTCATTGTATAAAATTTTGATAATCACTAATTATTCCCTTTTAAGTAACTCGGTTTGCTAAGTAAATCAGAAATGTAGTGGATAATTCAATTACTGTAAAGCTTAAAATGTATTGCTAACATAAGTTATCTACCCGTCATGGAAAATTCTCCGAGCGAGATTCTGAGTCTCTCGGTAGATCGTTCAAATTAGAAATTTCAATCCAAAATAAGAAATTCTTCCTTATTAATTGGACGAAAAGGTCGAGATACACTATTTATTAAGACGAAAGAGATTGTAACACCCAAATTTGAAAAAGGAAAGAGCTTTCCTCTTCCCTTTTTTTTAATTCACGTGCTAAAAATTATTAATAGTTTGTGTAGCCTAATCAGTTTGCCTCAAGGAAACTAATCTCGGAAGAGCCGGTCAAATTCTCATGGCGCTACCACTCTTTTGTTTCATTTCCTTTTTGTGCTACAGTACAACACCATGTAGAACATCGGGATAAGACTCCCTGAGCTTTCACCGTGCTGGTTTTTTTTTTTTTTCCATCTAACAATGGAGTTTCAGAGCTCTTCTACTTATTATTTTAGCTGCATACTTTGATGGTAGAGACAGTGGACCTATTTTCTATTTGTTTCGCCAGGTGATATGCTCGAACTATAAAATTTGATTACCGGAAGATGCTAATAGAAAACAAGTTACACATCCCTAGTTGACAGTTCATCGTCGAGGGAATGAAGACACTAATGAAAGCATTCTCAATATATGATCAGTTCTGCATGAGCAAGAGAATGACTCTGTATTGACTGTCTAGAAGAAGAAAGAAATTAAGGTTCGCATTTATAGGACGTTGATCTACGTTTAAGAACTTCTCGTCAGCCCCAACATTTGTGAATCTATTGAACGTGAAACACCTTTAGTCCCCTCTAGGCTGTAATGAGGAAAGGTACATGCTTCAAAACTTTTAAAAGCTTCTTGTTCTTTTGAACTAAATGAAATGAAGTTACTCTAACGCATTAACAAAGAAATTGGTGTATCAGAAAACAGATTATATACATTGACTTAAGTCCCGCTGAAATTGAAGCTGCACAAGACCCGGCATTTGGCAAAGAGCTATTATTTGAGATCAATATGAGAAGGAAAAACAGACCTATCTGCGAATGCCATGAAGGACTGACGAAATCTTTTTGTTCAGAAGAAGTTTATCCAGTGGTTCATTTAGAACTATAGCTTGACTTGGCTCTCTTTGCATTAGAAAACCACTGTCCGGTATTCCAAGAGCCTGACCCATCGTCTCATACTTCAAAGGTTCTTTTCTTCTCATTCTAATTTGAGATAGGAGAGGTTGTGAACTTGAAATGGAAAAGAAAGCTAGGACAAGAATACTGGACTGCAAAAAAGACATGAATTATAAGTAAATACGTGAGCTTCAAGGTTGAGTCTGAACATACAATTACAAATACCAGGGGCTAAAAAAAATAACGAATCGTTAACAAAGCATACTGTGACTAAAAGCAGAAATCTCGAGACAACTTGGAGCCATGCGATTTCCTCGTGGATTTCATTCAAAACATAAGCAGCTATCCATACTCCTGCATTGAAAGGAAGCACCAATGAGAAGATAAGAACACATGAGCAGTTTGACCTATTTAAGACTGTACAATTTCATACAGATACAAGGAGATAAGCAATGAGTTTCATATACAAATTCAGTGAAAAGTAAAAATACAATAGTGTTGGTTAATGTTGCAATTAGGCATCTGATTTCTGTCGTTTGATTTTTAAGTCAAGCTTCACATAGCATATTTTTCAATGAAACATTGGGTCAGCTATTGACTCTAATAGAAGCAGAGGAATGTACAAGTACATGAATATAATCAACGGACTAGGCAAAGACAAATTATCTTTTGAGATAGTATGCTGAAGGATCTTACCAATAGAAGATGCGGAGACAACTATTCCTCTCCAGAGATCTCGGAGTTCATTAAATCTGAATTCTATATGGCGAATTGCTCCCGTGAATGCGGCAAGAGTGGCGACATACAATGTGTGGAAGGAGACTACTGGGATAACCCATTGAGCACCCATGTGACAATGATTATTCGGAGGCTGCTTCATATGAACAACTACAGCATGACACAAGCATTCCTGTCAAAGCTATGCAAATGTCTAGACTGAAACTCTATCACTGCCCATGTGCCTCGTATACTTGCAATTTCTTATAGTGCTTGACAGGAGACGATTCTGTTGCAAAATTTCGTAGTAAGACAGAACAAGAATAATGACCCAAGCGAAGATGGAAACAAGATTCTTGTTATGCCTTTCTAGAAACATGCCATTCCACGGTGACTTCCAGTAAAAGGTGTAAACTAACCATCCTCCAATGCTCAGGACAAACACAACCCCACCCGCAAGCACACGACAGAAAATAATTCCGCTAAAAAATGCAAACACGTCTACTGACGCAGCTTTCCTCATTGCCTATGCAAGCACAAAAGTTCTCTTTTTATTCACCCTAATGAAGGGCGACCTCAATTGGATATATTAACACCTAAAGCTCCTATTTTCTTCTAATTTCCCACAGACAAAGGAATGGATTATCAACCTTTTCACCCGTGAAAGTATATCATAAGGCGCCTATGAGTGCCAACAATCCTAATAGACTATCAACCGTATACCGGCAAAAAGGTTTTCTGTCTTTCATTTGCAAATAACAATGGATGAAAGATACTAAATAAGTAAAAACTTCAGAGTTCTTACAGGCCGCCCCAGCAAACCATTGCAAGAGAAACAATGGAAGACAGACATGCGACCTCATTGGTGGTAAACGCCTCCTGCAAAGTAAGCTATTTAGTGACACAAACTCTTTTATAAAGACACAGAGTACAGGATGTAAAAAGTTAAGACAAAGCATAAAATGACCAGAACAAAAATGTGTAGATAAGAACTTTAAGAGTCTGAAAGTGAAGAACATCATAATGCGACGCCCCCCTTACTCGCGATTGACTGCAGATGCCTGCTTACCACCTCCTCTGTTTTTTTTCCCTCCCTCCCTACCTCCCTCCCTCCTCCCTCCATTTTTTTTCTTGGAGAAACCAACACATAGCATTCCCTCCCTCCCTCCCTCCCCACACACAGACCCACCTCCCCTGGCAGATGATATACTTATTTGAACTTATTGCTGCAGGAGCAAACTCTAATGTCCCTGTCCTTTACACTTACTTGCCAAATATGAAATACAATTGGAATGCCTGTACTATACGACAGCTGAGCAGTAAACCAAATCCAACTGGACCTTCAATCCAAACTGGAATCACCACATGA